ACAAATACTTTTCCTAACGCAATATCTACTGCGAACTTCTGGTATCTCGCCCACAAAGGGTCACAATTTTCAATACATTTAACTGTCATAACTTGAGAATCAGCGATTCATTATAACTTGCCATATCTGAATCGAGAAATCTCCTAAACAGAAATCTGATATGAATATGTAGTATATACGTAATATATATGTATCTATTGGGGCAACTATAGACTTTAAATAAAGCTGGCGAAAAATAACAACCCCTCATATTTTGAAAATTTTCATAAATCACGTATTGGAAGTTCGGCAAATATTAAATAACAATACTCTCTGATAGTATTCTTCCATAATATTGGACCATGCCACAGCTTTGAGATTTTTTGTTCAATTTTGAATAAATTGTAGAAAAAGGACGATTTTTAAAGAAATTTGGGGCTTTAATATCGGATTATTCTGTTTTTTAACCACTGTCCTATGTGCTAGGATCCAAAGATATTCGAATATTTCCGACCAAAGAAGGTGGTTCGTTTGTTTGCTTTTCGCCGCTTTGGTGTTGGGTAAATAGGACCAGAACACCACCTCCAACAGCAACACGCCAGCACTTATGTCTGTCCATATGTGCATACCAGATCTACATACGTACCTACACGCATATGGTTCGTAAATTAACATACACATCATCAAATCGGAATGAACTACAAACAATCGTCATTGGACAATTCGACAAACATATTCACTACAACAATGTATTTCTATTAGTGTCTTTATTGTTTTTGTTGTTGATTTTTTATTGGATTTTTATTACATTATGGGGGCAACAGCGTCATCACCATCATCGGGCGTATGTTTCCATTTTTCCGCAACGTTACGTCTCAATGAAACAACCGATGGTGGCGATGACATTTGTTGTACCTCCTTATCCGGCAACTATAATGTGTGTTGTGGCTTCTCAAGTGTTGAAGTGTGCGATATGTTCATGTGTGCGTGTGTGTGTGCGTCCGTCTGTGGTGAGAAAACAATAACTTTTAATAAGTTGCTGTTATTGGTTCATTAAGGAACCATGTTTTGCCTGTCGTCCAGATGTTGAGATGGCCCGGGCCATGTACAATTCCTCTCAAATCAGTGGCAAATACAAATCAACAGCAACAGCAGCCGAAACAACAACAACAACAGTAACAAGGGCATACATGCTTAAGGACTCTCTTATGTGCCTCCCTGACCATTGCCATGCCTTCGCTTCGTGCAGTCATAAATTATTTATTTAGTGTGATGTCATTATTTAAATTTTTTGTTGTTTCCTTTTCTTTTCTGCTCATTCTGTAGTATTTCCCAACTACTCCCCTTAACATAATTAACGGTAAACGAACACGGATGAATACCGTGCCACGCAGTGAGGCTCGGGTAAGGAGGGAGCACAGGCTTATTGAAAATGGGTGCCTTCTTTGCATGTGGCCATGAGAAGAACTAAAACAAAAGAAGCCCACAAATTAAAGTCGGTCAAAAGCCTAGCTGGCCATGTGCTGCTATTCGAGGGTCTGTTGCTGCTCTAGAGGGGTGGGGTGGGCCATCCATCCATCCAATTCACATACAGATATGGGCAACATAAATTACTTTCATTCTTAATTACTTACAGTGGTGACAATTTAAATAGGACATGTGCAAATAACCCCCATTTGCTTTCATTTCATATTGGCCTCCGAACCGCTCCCCCACCCCCCTCACCCGTGCTCAGCTCATTCACTTTGTGCAGTCATTTATGCTTCACCTATTCACTTTTGATACAAAACCGAACATGAGCATTGTTGGCTTCATTCCCACTATGGCAGGGCCAGCCAGTAGCTCTTCTTAATGGAAATTGTAAATATATGAGCAAGCAAACAGACAGACGGACGGACAGACTGACTGTCAGTCGTACAACGGAATATCTTTCGCACCAAATCTCGGTGGAGAGTGGAATGCTTCCATTTCTCCATTATATAAAAATGTCCATTATTGAAACCCACATGGCCATTCGACCACAGTGTTTTTAAGTCCTGGTCTGAGGTTAAGCGATAAACCAGAAATCATCATACTGCCGGACGACATTATCCTTGGACAATTGTCTTTGCTGGCTTGAATGGTGAATGGCAAAAACGAGCACACATACACTCGTATTCCCCCAGACCTGGCAGGTAGTAGGGCATTTTGAAAGTTATGGCACTGAGATTGTCATCGGTTTTGGTCCGAAAAGATAACCAATGAAAGAAACAGTATATCGTACCGTATGGCTGGTTCTCTACATTTCATACGTTTTGAAGTTTGTTTGTGTGTGTGTGTGAACTGAGATAAATCTCGAAGTTCTTAAAGTGAGAATTTTAAATGATTTAAAGAAAAAAAAACCAAACCTGACAAGTGTTCTTGAGGCCAATTCATTTTGTGTTTGCGATAAATTTGTCTTAATGCTCTGATAATTGTGTCACTCTGGTGGTGTGCATCAAAAGCAAGCCAGGAGTGCATAATTCGAGTTTTTCGACAAAATGTAAACCCTTTAGAAAATATATACATTTATAGGTATGTACACCAATACATATACAGGGTGAGAGAACAAAAACTGCAACAAAGTCAACGCCATAATTTTTACATTTTTTTTAATTTTTTTTGGATAAAAGCAAAAAATGTCGGAGATAGCACCAACTTTTAGAGTAAGTTCAGATTTGTTTGAATTGGTCACCATTAACACGAATTATGACCTTCAAACGGCCAATGAAACCGTCACACGCTGCTCGAATGTTGCTCTGCGGTATTTTGGCCCATTCCCGGCGAAACGCTTGCTTGAGGTTATCGACACTTTGGTATTATTTAGTACCAACCTTGCTTTCCAAAATACTCCAGATATAATAGTCCAACGGATTGGTGTCTGGATATTTTGGTGGCCATTGTGGTGCGCTGGAAATGAAGCGAGGAACTTAATTTTGTAACCATTCTTGGGTGGTGCGTGCTGAGTCCTGTTGGCCAAGGCTTTAATAAACCCTCCAGAATATTTTCGTGATAATATTCGGCATTTAATCTGATGCCACGGTTGATTAATACGAGCGGAGAGCGGTCATCGGCTGTTTTGACGGCCCACACCATCACCATGGCCGGCGCTTGAGTTCAGGTGGCCAACCGAAGGTGCACATTTTCCGCTGACCTCTTTGGCAAGTAAACACGATCATTTTGTTTGTTTACAAACTGCTGGACAACGAATGTTTTCCCATTGAAGAAAATTCGGCTATTCACCCCATTCGACCAAGCGAAGCAACTCTTTAGTCCTTTTGAGTCTATTTTCTTTCTGTTGCGGTGTAAGTTCTTGCACTTCTTGGAATTTCAATGGCTTTACCCCGAGCTCATTTTTCAATATTTGCCGAATGGAATGGATTGCGATATGTTCAGCTCACGAATACCTTTTTTTCTGGAAATTTCTCACCAAAATTCTCTTGAATTCTATGTCGATTTAGCGATGTCCGTCTGTCTGTCAGTCTATCCGTCTTACCGTCTGTCCGTCTGTGGAAATCACTCTAGATTCCGAACGAAATGAAGTAGATTGATAAAATTTTACTCAAATGTATATTATGTCTGTAGGACTTGTGGTTTTTGAAAATGCGCCATATAAGTCCACGTTTTGAAGAGCCGCCATATAACGGTACCTCCCGATATTCGGTATTTTGATGATTTTAGCGACATTATTCGTTGGAATTGTTTAAAATTTGGTATTTCAAGTTCGTAATGAATATTATAGCCTAAAAAAATTGTCTGTGCAGGTCCACGTCTTCGTATAACCCCCATATAACGGTACCTTCCGATATCCGGTATTTTGATGATTTTAGCGACATTATTCTTCGAAATTGTTTAAAATTTGGTATTTGAAGTTCGAAGAAGATACTGCAGCCTAAGAAAAAAAATTGTGTGTGCAGGTCCACGTCTTTGTATAGCTCCCATATAATGGTACCTCCCAATATTCGGTATTCTGATGATTTCAGCGACATTATTCGCTGGTATTTGAAGTTCGAAGTAGATACTGCAGCCTAAGACAAAAAATTGTGTGTGCAGGTCCACGTCTTCGTATAGCCCTCATCTAACGGTACCTCCCGATATTAGGTGTTTTGATGATTTTAGCGACATTATTTACCGGAATTGTTTCAAATTTGGTATTTGAAGTTCGTAATGAATACTGAAGCCTTCAGAAGAAAATTGTCTGTGCAGTTCCACATTTTGGTATGACGGCTACATTTGGTATTTTTAAGATTAGAACATTGTTGGCTAAGTTTGTTCGGGATACCATAGTATTTTGTTGTTGCAAAATGGTCAGGCTTAATCCCTTTATTTATAAAAACAACGTTTGTTTATTAGTGGAGATCGATGGTAATGTTTACCAGGGGGTAAGGCATGGAATTCCTAGGTTTCGGAAAGAGCCACCAATCCTCATCAGTTAGTTCCCTTGTTTTTTGTCTGGGATAGTCTCCCCAGAAATTATTTTAAAAATAACTTCGATGACAAAAAACATTTTTGACGAGATCGTAGGCTCAATAGAAGAGGAGCCAAAGAATTAAAAAAAACTAAAATTCTTTTGGAAAATCTTTTAAATCTTACAAACGCACTTATAAATATTAACATCTTTCTCCACTTGTTATGCTTTCGTTCTACCTGAACGAAGTAGCATAATCATGTAAGTTGGTTTTGTCTGTTACATTTTTAGGTTTTTAACAGAATTTTTACGGATTTTTTTTTGAAAATTGCCAAATTCGTTCTTGTGATATATTCAAAGAAGGGAAACTAACTTTTTAACTTTTTAAGGTTTTAACATAATTTTCAACGGATTTTTTTTTTTGAAAATTGACATTTTGAATATAGAATATGAATTATTGAAAATATTTTTTAGAATTGACACTTTTTTAAGAGTCTAAATTTCCAATTGAAAAAAATCATCCATTTGCCTTTTTCCCATTTCTCCCAAAATCATTTCTAATTTATATTTCTCTCTTATCTTTGTCATTTTGCAGTGCCCACAAATTGTACATTTCCCGCCCGCTGGGAGGGCTCATGGTTCCTATCGGGCTATCAACAATCCATACACATTAAAGGTTCCCAATTTAGTTATCGCGGTCGATGTGCAGCTTCGGATGGTAACAAATATTTAATAGTTGACGAGTAAGTGATGACCAATTTTTAAAGTTTATTTTCTTCTTATATTAACATTTGAAAACTATATTTTACACAATTCACACCAAAAACAACTCATATGAAAAAAAAAATCATGCCAAAAATTACATAAAAAAATAAACATCGAAACAAAAACTAATCCAAAATCCAAAATTTGGAAAATTTACTTAACCCCCTTAACAAATACACTTCACTCATAACAAATATTTTCGACTCTATTTTACTAATAATTTTTTGATTGACCGAATCGGAGGAAAATGATTTATATTTTATTGTTATGAGTAATATTTATGATTAGAAATATTCAATTACAAAAAAAAAAAAAGAACAAAAACATCTCCTTGCTTTAGTATTTACATTAAAACACAATGGTATTTATTTTTATTTTTACTTCTTTGATATTGAGTTGTACCTTTTTTTGTTTTTTGGTTATTCAGTGGTGTTCTAATTTTCCAAAAAGTCATTTTCACATGAAAAACATTTACAATACACAAAATATGTTACATAAGCATTACAACTAGCTTTATAAATATTTAATTTTTAATATTTTTATAACCATCCTTCCCCGAACCCGAAACATCCATTCCCATAACCTATTCACCCAACCCCCAAAAAACACCCACCATCCAGTCAAACAAACCCTGTGTATTGTATGTACGTATGTATGTTTGTATTACAAATATCAAAAAAAAAAAAAAAAACAAATATGAAATATTAAACTAGGCTATTCAAATGTTTTACGTTTAAACCATCAAATCAAATACGACCAACAAATACAACTCATGAAAATTCATAATGAAAATTTAGCCAACAACAGAAACAAAAAATGAAAAAAAAAACATTTGTTCGTTCATACATATCTTAAAAATTTATACAACGAGTCATTCGTGCAGAAACCCAAAAAAAGAAAAAGCAGAGCAAAAAGGAGAACCCCAAAAAACTGAAAATCATTCAAAGTTGAACATAAAACATTTCAATGCTTCGATGCTCAACGAAATCATGGAGCTAAAGGAAATTGAAACAAAGAAAAGAAAAAAAGACTTGTTTTTTTCCCGGCGAGAACGTATCAAAACGATACGACACAAAATGAGGTAAGCTACCAGCAAATCGCTTCAGTACTGCCCGAGAACCTACTTGGCCGAAGAGCCATGTCGATGACGTTACATATCAACTGCTTGAGCTTGAGCCTTGGCTCCAGTTCCTAGTTGCTAGTTACTCTTACTACCACTACCACTACAACTACAACTAACATACAAGGTGTAATGAATTGAAATGGACACGAAACTCTCCTGGGTGTTATTCCATCCGAACAAACAAGACACAGAGGAAGAACTGCCAGAAAACATGAAACAAAACCCCACACGACACAAGAAAAAAAGGAAGTTGGAGCAAAACGACGTAACGAACAACAACAACAACAACAACGAAACTCATTTGGTTGGTGGGTTTTGTTGTATTTGTCGGTGATGGCTATTCTTCCTCCTCTTCTTCGACATGACGTAGAATTGCCAAACATGCACTTTTGGTCTGAAGAAGCGAAATTAAATGGGTGGTGGTGGTGGTAAGAGACAACAGCACCTTGCAAGTCATCAAATCGGGCAATATGGCAACATCAATGGAATTTCCTACCAAAAAAACTTGGTTGTAATTCAACTACATGCACTCAATATTATATCAAATATATACTAGGATATTTCAAAAAAAATTATTTCAATACAATACATATCAAAACCTCCCGCAATTTATTTAGAAACCCTTGTTTAATCGATATGATGTCCCATATTTCCCCACAAACTAAATTGTCTACAAACTATCACACAAAAATGTATTTCAACAAAAAAAAAGTCGTTTGAAAGAAAGGAACTCAACCAATTTCAAAGTTCAAATGCATATCAACATCCTTTTTTGCCTAAGGACATCGAATACGTTTTATGTCTACGTCAAAAAAAGAGAAGAATATTCAAAAACAATTACATGCATACATACATATGTGGAGGTGAGCATAGTAGGATAAGTCCTCCAAGAGATATTTTGAAAACGATTTTTATTATTATTTTTTTAAATATAAAAATATCACATACACACCCGAAGGTTGACATACTCACACACAATAGTATGCCACCATATATTTAATTTTTTTTAGGGGAAAAAATTATCATCGAAATATTCTAAAAAAAAAAAATTATATATGTGATATACCTTTTTTTAAAAAAAATTAATTATATATAGGTGTCCAGAAGAAAAATATAGGCAGTAAAATACCAAAAGAGATACTTTTCTAAAAGAAAAATGGGAATAGTGATAAGTTTCACAACAGAAATTTTTTCAGTAGAAAATATCACATGTAAAGAAAAATTCACGTGTGATATATTGTCCCGATGGAAAACGGTAACCATATTATTCCAGAGAAAAAATGTCACATGTAAAAAAAAACTTTTGTAGAGGAAAATGTTTCCAGTGAGACATTTTTAGAAAAAAATATAATTTTTAGAAGAGAATATAACAAGAAAAAGTTCGCTTGTGATATTTTTCTGTTGATAAAAAAGATTTTTCTAGAGAAAAAATATAACATGCCAAGAAAAGTTTACCTGTGATATTTTCTTGAAGGCAAACTGTCACCCCTTATTCTTATCTACAGCAAATTTAAAGAAAACGGTACTTCCCAAAAGAAAGCTATGACCAGTGATACTTTTCTAGGGGAAAAAGTTTCCAGTGAGACATTTTTAGAAAAAAATATAAGTAGTTACATGTATTTCTAAAGAAAATTGTAGCATAAGAGATACGGTTCTATAAGAAAATGGGACAAGTGACATTTCTCCTTAAAAAATGAAAACAATTCTGAATAAAATTACACTACAGAAATATCACAAGTGATATTTTTTTAAAAAGAAACCCATCATAGTTTATAGTCCATGCTAAATTTCTGGGAAATTTTATCACTAGTGATACTTTTTCAACAGTTGAATATGACCAGCGGTGGTTCGCTAAAGAAAAATAATAATATGAGAGCCATGTGATATTTTGGAGAGCTACAATATTTATAGTGATGGATGAAACATATCACCAGTGATAATTTTGTAGATAAAGTGTCACTAGTAATATTTTAATAGTGGGAAAAAAGTTATCTGTAATATATTACAGTGACACAATTGCACAAGAAATATATCACCAACGGGAAAAAAATCAGCAATGTTAGTTTTCTGTGAAAGTTGATATTCAATGAAACTTTTCTAAAAGAAAAACATGACTAGCGATGATTTGTAGAAGGAAAATAATAATACGAGTGCCATATACCGGTGATATTTTTGAAGAGCTACCATATTTATATTATAGGCCAAATAAATCACCAGTGATAATTTTATATGTAAAGTGTCACTTGTAATAATTTTAATTTTCTGGGAAAATGTCTCTTTTCTAAAAGAGAAATATGACTAACAATGATTTTCTAAAGGAAAAGAATAATATGAGGGCCATATATTTTCCAGTGATAGAAGAAACATATCACCAGTGATAATTTTGTAGATAAAGTATCACTAGTAATACCTTTATGGTGGAACAATTTTATATGTGATAATTTATGATAGCGAAAATATATTCTAGAGTAATATCAAGAGTGATACTTTTGCGCAAAAAAAAAAAAAAAAAAAAAAAAAAAAAAATATATATATATATATATATATATATATATATATATATATATATATATATTTATATATATATATATATATATATATCACCAATGATAAAAATATCACAAGTGTTAATTTTGTGGGAAAATTTATCATCATCATATCATCATCATCTAAAAGAGAAATATGGCTAGTGGTAGTTCGCTAAAGGAAAAGAATAATATGAGAGCCATGTGCCAGTGATATTTTTGAAGAGCTACCATATTTATAGTTACAGACGAAATATATCACCAGTGACAATTTTGTAGATCAAGTATCACTAGTAATACCTTTATGGTGGAACATATTATCTGTGATATTTTATGGAAGCAAAAGTATATCCTAGAATAATATCAAAAGTGATACTTTTGCATACAAAATATACCACCAAAGGGAAAAATTTCACCAGGTTTACATTTCTGAGAAATCTATCACCATTGACACTGTAAAAAGGAATACGATCAGCAATGGTTTTCTAAAGGAATGGGGTGATGAAATAAGAGTTATATACATTAGTAGAGCTATTGATATAACCAGTCATATTTGTTACAAAGAAATTTTACTTTCATCAGTGACTTTTGGGCAGGAAACAATTGTCACTGATAATTTTTAAGGAAATGTATCACCAATATTTCATCAGTGACTTTTGAGTAGCAAAAAATTGTTACTGATAGTTTTTGAAGGAATGTATCACCAATATTTGCATTGCAAAAATATATCCATTGTTACCTTTTCAGAAATAAACAAATTCGGTGATATTTTTCCAGCAAAAAAACCCTCGCCAGTGATACGTCTCTAGAGGAACTGGACGGTCATTTTTAAATTTATAGGCAAAATATCACCTGTGATAATTCTTTAGATTCTGATAAAACTTCTCTAGAGAAAAAATATTTTTTATTACATAAACATAGTCATTGCTACTTTTGTGTAAAAATACTCTAGTGATACTTTTGAAGCGAAAAAATCCTTCGCTAGTGAGAATTTTCTTAAAGAAAACTATTACAAGTGATACTTCTCTACAATATCAAAATATTACACATCACAGAGATTTTTATTTAGATTCTAATAAAACTATTCTAGAGAAAAAATATTTTTCATTACATAAACATAGCTAATGCTACTTTTCTAAAAAAAAAAAATCCAGTGATATTTTTCAAGGGAAAAATTACTCGCTAATGAAAGTCTTTAAGAAAACCATCACCAGAGATACTTCTATACAATATCAAAATATCACACTTTTTAGAGGAAAATTTTAACAGTTATGGTTTTTTGGTGTCATAATTTTGTAAGGTTCCAATAAATCTTTTCTACAGGGAAAACGGCACTTTCGATAGTTTCCTGTGCGAAATGTAGCACACTATGATTTTGGTGAATTTTTACTCTGAAAATCACACTCTCATTGCAAACTGAGAATTGAAATCGTTTTGTATTAGATTTTGTTTTTAGAAATGCTCTCCCGGAATATGTACACTTAGTTGTGTTGGTAGCTCTATTGCAAAATTCCAGGTTACATGTCGTTCAACCTTAATCGGAACTACAATTTTAAGCACCATACATTTTTTGCTTTCCTCCTTTTACCACCGCCCAGAATTCATTTCCTTTATGCAGTCGGCTCTTGTGTGGAGTTTCGTTTTTAATTTATTTCTTTCTTTTTTCCACTATTTTATTTCAATTCGTTTTAATTTTAATGATGATGACTCTTTAATACCTTCTAACAACAGTAGCAGAGCAGCAGCAAAGGGAGAAAATGAAACTCTACACAGAGAACTACATCATATCTTAATGATGATGATGGAGGTGGTGGTGGTGGTCATACTTGTGTGAGTGAAATGTGTTCCACCTCTAGGTATGTGGGTGTGAGTATGTTCTCCATCCATGGTAGGTGTGTGTTATGTGATATTTTTTTTTATAATTTATATTTGCATTTAATAACATTTCATCATCAGGCATACTCATGATGATGATGATCATCATCATTATTATCGTATGTGATACCATGTATGTATGTATGTAAGTATATTTGTGTAAAATTAATTCAGCAAACTGCGAATAATTTCGTTTTTAAAAAACTGTAAAGAAGAAGAAAGCAAAAAACGACAACATTAAATTATGAACGAATGAAACGATTTCACATTACCTGCAAAAGGAAGAAGCGATTCTTGAAACGTTTGCGTGTTTCTGAGTGCTTACCTATCTACAAATTACGAAACAACGAACCTACCCACCGAACAACCTGGCCATCAGTCAGGGCACCCCCAAAACAGAACTACATATATTTATTTGTTCTTGTTCTTCATCTTTGTTTTTGTACTACCAAAGGAAACTCCAAGCCTTAATTTTTCGTTTTCGTTGTTGTATTTGTGTTTTTCATTACTTCCATGATTTTTTGATGAATTACTTGATGGTAATTAAGTGAAAAATAATAAAAACAAAAATCATAACCATTTTACATATAGTATACCAAATAAATTCATTCGTTTTGGTTTTATTTCCTGTGAGCTTTAAATTTATACTTAAAATATGAAATATACAAATTTCCAAAAACTCTTAGTATTTAAATATATAATGTTGTTCGAATTGTTTTCAGTTTTCATTTCAGAGTTGATTTGATTTTAAACTTTAAACCTAAGAATGAATGTGTTATTTTTGTTTCGGTTTCAGTTGTTTCCAAATTTTATCTCTTTTTGACTCTATTTTATCTCTTATCTCTTATGGAAACTTCTTAAGCTTTTCTCCCCTCCCAACCCAGTAAACAAAACTCAAATCTCCCCATCTTTTAGATATATCATTATTGTTATTATTCTGTTGTTTCGAAACTTTGTTTTTGAGAACAAACAAATAAGTATGACAGTTTTTTTTTTCCTTTATCATTTGTAGCTGAAATGTGTTTTTCTGTTTGAAAATGAAAAAACAAAAACCCAAAACAAAAATCCAATTAAATATACGATTATAACTATTTTACTCTAATACTTATTGAATTTCTTTCGATGTTCTTATTTGTTGTAATAAATTTTAAGTTTACTTTTTTTTGAAATTTATTTGAAACTCAACAGCCAAGTTTAAACCCATACATGAACGAGAAAATCAATTGTTTTTGATTTAAAAATCCCTAAATAGATGTTGTTAATTTTAAATTAAAAATATTATAATTTTTAATATATTTTAAATTTACATATTTAGTTGGAAGTATTTTAATATTGAGTTGATGGCTTTAAACTAATTTATTTTGAAATAATAAATAATTATTTATTATTGAAAAAAATATATTTTATTTTTTTAGCTGTAAGAAATATCTCATTCATTTAGGCCTCCGATGACCAAAGAGAGAATCCGAAATTTAACATTGCAAAGTAAAATATTCCTTTTTTTTTCACAATTCAAAACCAGTAAAGAAAATCTTAAAGTGGGGGTGGGGTTGACTTTTTGATGCCCTATAATTTAAAGACCAAAGGAACTAACTAATATATGAGAGGAATATCCTCTTTTTAAATTTGCCGTCGCACTTGGCCGTCGTAAAATCGGCAAGCAGAAGCCGAACGTCTATAGTTGACGCTTAAGACAACTCGCATTTCAACGTCTAGAGACCGAAAATCCAATAATTCCAATACGTTTCCTTAGATTTTTGTCTGGGTTAATTGTCTTCGGAAGGTACTCACTCAGATTTGCTCTATCTTACTCGCGAGTGAAAAATATTGGAGAGCGGGTATGCTAGAAGAGTACAAGTTACCAAAAAGTATGCCCTCACCTCTTTTGTTTTATGTGGGGACACTCGCAAGTTCTCCAGCAGTGAGAGAAATTTTCGAAATAGAGTAATATTTTGCATACCTGCGAGAGCGTGTGTAACACCAACCCGTACTTTCAAATAATACATTGCCATGACAAAAACTGTATGAATCCTCAGAAAGAGTAGAATCGAGCGTGTTTTACAATCAAAAAATAACTAAAACATACTCGTTCTTATTCGAGTAGTATAGAAAAATAGAGAATACTCGATTTAGTTTTTTTACTCGCAGCAGCACTGCCTCTCAAATTCCTTACTCTGCCTCTTAATACTCGTTTTTATTCGATTAGTTTAGATAAATAGAAAATACTCGATATCGTTTTTTTACTCGAAGGGGCACTGCCTCTCAAATCCGAAATATTTTCACTCTCTACTCGAATTTGAGCGAGCATTTCTGAGCTTTTCTTAAAAATAACTTCGTTTAAGTTTTATCTCCTAAATTTGTTATTAACAGCTGGTGGAGAAGCTTTTCAAACATTAAAAATTGAGTCTCGACTTTGAAGCTAAAGTCGATTACGATTTTAGATTCCAATCAAAAGATCGCTTGCAAGCAGACCTCGAATAAATTTGCTCGAATTTGGACAAAGAGTGAAAAGCACTCGAAATTGAGTGGGAGTACATTCAATTTTTCGGTGTCGTTCAAATAGGAGTGAGCTCGTTTTTGAGTGGGAGCAAAATTTGTTCGAATTTCAATCAAGAGGTCGAGAGCAGACCTCCAAAAACTTGCTCGAATTTGCTCCTAGAAGTAGAAAAAATCGAGGAAACTCAATTTTTCGGTGTCGCTCCAAAAAGGGTGAGCATATTTTCTTCGTTTTTGGGAGTGGGAGCCAAATTCGTTAAAAAAGCAGATTCTACTCCTGGCATGCACTCCTTTAGATTTTGTCACTCCGTTGTTGTACTTCTATGTAGGTGTATTTTTTCACACCCCCTATTCCCTCCTTTCTCCCTATTCCCAAGAGCAAAGCAAATCTGTGCTATCAGTTAAACTCTACTTTATAGGCATTATGAAAGGAACAGGATATCATATGCAAAAACACCTGAAATATAACCTTTAGGGATCGCATAAAAAACAAAAAAAATATGATCGAAGGTCAAGGGGAGTTACTTATCCCTAGTGGAGTTACGAATAACGTAGATCTAGGACCTATGAAATATTTTACTTTGCAATTGTTTCTCCCTCTTTCGCTCTCTTTCTCTCTTTGTTAGTGAATAGAAACTCATCATTTTCATCCGAATCAATCGAAACGCCCTCTTAACAATTTCAAAACTGTTGTACTAACCCTCTCGCCCGCCAAATGTAATTCGTTACAAAAAAAAAAATAAAATAAAAAAACTAACCAAACTTCAAGTTTATGAAATAGTGTTTTCTACTATATTATTATTAATAAATAAAATAAATTATTAAATAATATTATTTTACTTTTCTTATGGTTTCTCCTATTTTTTAACCACATAAAATAAAACCTAAAATTAATTTAAAAAAATAACCATTTTCTTTCGTCATTATCCCCCCAAAAAATGTGTCGTAACTTTTTTTTTTTATTAAAAATTACAAAAAACAAAATACCCCCGGAAATGAAACAATTTATAAACCATACAATGTCACTGTATTGCAATATTCTAGGAAAGGATGTCATCGGTGCCTGGTCATATACGAGAAACATAAAAATGTTCTGCAGTATAAAGAAAGTGAGTGCGAAGGTGATAGTATGTATATGCATCAAACAAATCCATCAGCCATGGCGATGCGTAGCGTTTTAAATCAGAAGCCCAGCTTGGGCAATGGTGGTGATCATAGGGGGGGAGCTCATCCCAATTTGAACGGGCATTCAAGACTATCCTCATCGGATCAATATATAATGCGATCCAATGATGATATGAATGATTGTAAGCATTTTTTGTGTTTTTTTCTATTCCTTCTAAAAATACTACTACTAAAAAAAATTATCCAAAAAAAAAAAAAATAATTAGTAAACAAAAAAACGTAACTGTTATTCGATTATTGTAATTATTATCGTTATTATTATTATTATTTATTGTTAAAGCAAAAAAGTACAAATTTTTAAAAAACCCAAAGAAAAATAACCCAAAATTCCATTTATACAAACATTTTGAGTTTGATTGATTTTGAGTTATTTGCCTTTGGTTAGGTTAAGTTAATCATATCCTGCTTTTGATTACAATAATTTCTGTTGATTTTTTTCGAACTTTTCTTTTTTTCTCAAAAAAAGAAACTCATCAAAATGAATTACATAAGACACGTTGATTAGGCTGCTAATTGTCAAAGAATTTATTTTTTAATTTAGTTTTGAGTTTTTTGTTAAAGAAAAATTTGACAACAACAAACACTTGTAAATTTATTTCATTCATGTTGGTTAAGTTGTTTTCAATTTGAGGTTATGTTTTTTACTGATTCTTTGTGTTTGTTTTATTATCCTTTGTTCGATCCACAATCTTTGTAAATAGCTTTCTTCTCTTTCTCTCTTTTTGAAATCAAAACAAAACGGTTTTGTGAAAAACAAATTCGAAATTCTACCGAAAAGTCTCACTTTTTTGTATAATTTCGCCAGTAAGGGTCCTCTTTCCTTGCGTTTGGAAATTGAACGAAATTCTGAACCAAGTTCTGGCCAAGGAACCCAAACCTTGAGGAGATTTTATTTCCAAGGGGTTTGAATCTGATCTGAGGCTTTTTTAATAAAAAAAGCATAACAATTTGAAAAAATACCTACAAAATGAAAAACTGAAACGTATTAGCGGAATAGCAGATTAACCCGTCCCAACTTTTGTCATTTAAATTGTATAATTTTTGTTTTCTCTGTCAAACAAGTTAAGCAAAAAAAAAAAAAAAAAAAAAAACTGAAAAAAAAACTGAAAAAAAAAAAACGAAAAAACAAAACAATTTCTTATACCACGTTTTTAGGACAAAAAAGAAGGTATAAAATTTCATTTTTATAAGAAAAACAAAAAAAAAAAAAAAAAAACATTAAACAACTGTATAGTTTAATTATTAATTTTGTTTGTTTTACAATTAATTTTTTTCTCTAATTTCCAATTCCCCTTTTCATTTGATTAACTGTAAATAATTAAAGTTTCAGTTTCATTTTCGATATTTTCTGTAAATATTTATAAAAAAAAAAAAACAAAACTAAAACAAACTAATTCAACAAATAACAAAATTTGTTTGTTTCTCAACATATATTCTTTATAACTACATATATAAATATTTTGTAAATTCTTTTCCATATATAAATATATACAAAAACAAAACCTTTATATATTTTGCAAATTCTAAATTTTGGTATTTTTTAAAATATTATAAAGCAAACCAAAAAAAATTTAACTCTTCCTAAACTAATATTTTACGATTTTCGTTTGAAATACTTTTCTGTTTGACAACTCTCAATAGTAGAGGAACCACAAAGAATAATTAGTGAAACGGCTAGTTATGCCAAGTGTATGAATTTTTAACCTACATTACGTTGCGTTGCGTTACGTTACGTTTATCTTTAACTCATCTGTAAATAACCATATAAAGCACCAGATCTTAAGACAAAAACAAACCAAAAAAAGAGAACGTAATCGATTTTTTTAAAAAAAAGGTTTTCAAGCTGTGTTTTCATAATTGTAATTGACTGTCTGATAATGTTTACGAATCTCAAGTAAAACATTATGAAGCTGTAAATTACGATTGAGTCAAATTTGGCTAAAGTGACATTGAGGAATAATGCCAATGGTTGGCAAGAAAAATATTGCATGATCTCTCTCTCCCCTTTTGTTTCTCTCATTGAGGGTAATATTTAATAAGAAGATTTTGAATTTCGCTCGCAAGGAACTTTATGAATTTACATTATATAAGAGTTGAACAATCTTATTCACTAAAGAGTTCTCGTCCCTTACCCTAAGAAAAGTTATTTGTCTTATGAAAAGCATATTATGTTCATTCATCTTTTTGATTTTTTTAGAAACAATCTGAGAAGAAGGAGTTCTTTGCTCCCCCTTCGAAAATGTTACAGCGACTCATTAATTTCCATTTTATTCGTCCTTTTTTTGTTAAAACTTTCTTTAATGTTGACGGTTTCTTTAATTCGACTATTTACACAGCTAAACATTTTTTTTTCGAAATTTCTAAATATTTTTTTTTAGAAATTTGCCGATTTCTCTTATTTTTTTCTAGAGATTATCCCGATTAAAAAAGATTGAATCGTACTTAAGACAACTTTGGAATTTAAAGGATCAATTGTTCAACATTTCAATAATTTTTTCCTTGCAATAATATTTATTATTGTCTTGCAGTAAAATAGTCGCAAGAGTAAAGTTTTCTTAAAAGGTGTCTGAATGAAAAAGAAACAAAAAAAAAATAATAATGGAAAATGAACCTCTGAACTAAATGTACCTCTAATAGATGAAGGAAAAATCTGTTACTATTTCTGATTGTTCCCATTGCGGAATAACCTCTACGAACAAATATGTTCCGGAGCGACAAAACTGTATTACCCAAACATAAGGAATTTTTCTCACTCCTAATTTCGGTTGGTGAATTTCCTACGTTTTTAACTCAGCAGGTTATTTAATTTAAAATTGCGTTCTGTCGCCCACTAACCTTCCGATTTATCACCATCGAATTGAAATATTTTCATATAAAAGAATTATTTTGAACAAACACAATGTAGTCTACCTTTCTTGTATCCATTGAAAAGGGACTATTTCTTTCCAAATCCCAAATATAAAAAACTTATTTTACTACAACAAAATTCAAATTTTGACTTAAATCATTTTCCAATTAGATGTGGAAATATCCTTATTTCAATAATTTTATCAGAGGAAAGACTTTCTTAGGTTTCGTGTTCAGTTTAAATGTTTTCTCCGCCACGATCTCCTACTGCGTTACGTCAATTACTAACTGTATGAACATGAATTTCAAGACTTAATCTTTTGTAAAAATTCCCTAAACAAACACTGAATCCCTAGAAGAATTCGAACAGTGTAACTAGACCCGATTCACGGCAATGAATTTTCGTCAATTCTATGTTTTTATAACCTCCACCACACACAGTATGGAGGGTGTATTAAGTTTGTCATTCCATTTGTCACTCATCGAAATAATAATTTTAGACCTAACAAAGTATATATCAGCGTATTCTAATTCTATGACGATATAGCCCTGTCCGTCCGTTGTAAGCACGCTAGATACAAAATGAATTAAGAAAGAAAGGTAAAATTTTGCACAGATCAGTCTTTTGGTGCAGGCAGGTCAAGTTCGAAGATGGGCTATATCGGTCCACGATATCGTATGGTCTCCATATAACGGTACCCCCGGTATTCGTTACTTTGATGATTTAGGCACATTTTCCATTAAATTGTCTGAATTCCTACACAAGGAGTTCTTTGTGGGTATCTTACCTCCTGTAGGAGAATTGTTTATATAGGTCCACGATGTCGTATATCCATCCCACATATAACGGTACGGTACGGTATATAAAGGTCCCGATATTCGGTATTTTGATGATTTTAGCGTCATTTTTGACCGGTACTGTTTCAAATTTCGTAAGTCAGAAAATTGTCTATGCAGGTCCACGTCTTTATATAGCCCGCATATAACGGTACCTTCCTTTATCCGAAGGTAGGAGAATTGTTTATATAGGTCCACGATGTCGTATAGTCATCCCACATATAACGGTACGGTATATAAAGGTCCCGATATTCGGTATTTTGATGATATTAGCGACATTATTCAACGGAATTGTTTCAAATTTCGTATTTGAAGTTCGAAATGGATACTACAGCCTATGACAAAAAATTACTTATGGAGGTCCACGTCCACGTGTTTTAACTTGAGGATAATTTGCAAGATTAACTTTTCCCTACTTTACGTTACGTCAAGGTTTACTCGTCAGCTAAGCTAGTTTATTGAAGATTTGTTAATTATTTGACGTAACGTAAACGTGATCGACAAATAATGCGTTTTAATAAAACGTGTTCGGTATAATTAAGGCTTAAGATTTACTAATAGCCACTGGATGCCAACATAAATTCGAACACTGTGCCAATTATTAAAATAATATCTCTGAAACGACAAATGATATTGAAACACTGTTAATAATTGTATACATTTTGTAGACAAAAAATGTGTTTACCCTTCGCAGTGTTGATTTTTTTCTTTTATTAGCGAAACTTCGCATTTTGCGTTCCCAATTTGAAGCTGAAATATAAGTGGTATCAAAATATCCAAAACTTATTTTAACAAAATTTGTTTAATCTCCGCGATGTACATTTTGATGTAATTTCGTATATTGCTTGGCCCTCTGCGATTAACTAAAATTCTTTCGTAGTCAAGTCCTGGAGCAGAATTCTTGTTGTATGAAAATATGAAATTATAAAATTTTTCATTTCACATTTTCATAGAAACAGAATTGAGCCCCTGAATTTCAAATAGAATGAAATTAAAGTGTTACAAAAAGACTATTTTCTCCAGGCTGTGTGTGATTTGATGAATTTGTCCATTCAAAGCTTTCTTCCAAGATACATTAAGACAAAAATTTTTACTTTACGTTACGTCTAAGAGTACCTCACTCCTAAAGATACATAATTAGCACCTGATTCTCAAGAAAATACAACAATGTAAATATTCAACAAAGGTAAAATTACTCTTTATTGTTCTTCCTCAAGTGTGACACTTAAAATACCTTTAGAGCCATTTAATACCTACCAAGGAGGAATATGTCATAAAAGGGAACCATAACATTTATCACAATACTTATACGCTACCCCCTAACCACAATGGGGCGTCAATCTCCCCACGATAACTCTCCCCTGGGGAATTTTCATGGCAATATTTTTCTAGCTGTCTTAGGCGGCAAAAAATGGTAATTATTTCCAGTTCCTCGCT